AGACAGAAAACGATTGTGTGGATTTACTCCCAGTGGGATGGGCATGCTTGGAATCCTTTCTCCTCCATTCTCTCCTTGGGATCTTGGGCATGCACACACATATGCCTCAAACTACCAGGTCTGGGACTTGAACTACGGTCAACCATGTGGGAGTCCAAGCGCCTTACCTACTACGCCATGTGTAGGCCCCCATGGGGTTTTCGTTTTTTATTTTTCTTTTGATAAGTTTTTTAAGATTCTTTTTTTTTGAGGGGGAGAGGTTTTTACTATAGGGTGCGTGTGCTCACCAGAAAGACAGAGAGACAGAGAGGCAGAGAGACAGAAAGGGAGAAATCACCCCCCGGGGGGGGATGGCCATGCCACAATCCCTTCTCCATTCTCCTCCGGAGATCTTGGGCGCGCACGCGCACGCGCCTGGCCTGAGTTCAAGCCACCAGGTCTGGGACTTGAACTACGGTCAACCATGTGGGAGTCCAGTGCCCTTAGCCACCATACCACCTGCCAGCCCCCTCTTTTTGTTTGTTTTGGGGAGAGATTTTTGCTATAGAGTACAGGTGTTCACTGAAGAGACAGAGAGACAGCAAAAATTCACCCCCAGGGGGATGGCCATGCTGCAATCCCTTCTCCATTCTCCTCCGGAGATCTTGGGCGCGCACGCGCACGCGCCTGGCCTGAGTTCAAGCCACCAGGTCTGGGACTCGAACCTCTTCAGTGATGTAGCCATTACGCCAACTGCTGGTCCCTTCCCCATAGGGTTTTCTAAGGCAGGAAATCATGATCTCGCGAGAGCGTGGATCTGGTCCCCACAGGGCCCACCCCTTCCTGCCCCACACCCCACCCCACGGTCCGCTTACCCATAGGAGTGTCCAATGAGCACGTTTCTTTTCTTGGCATAGCGCTTGAAGATGGCCCGCATGTCCTCCGCCAGGGCATAGAAGGTGTAGGCGGCGGCCACCTGCGGCGCTGTGCTGGCCCCGTGGCCCGCCAGGTCGGGCGCCACCACCTCGTAGCCCAGGCGCACAAAGAAGTCCAGCTGTTCCTTCCAGATGGCTAGAGAGCCGCCCACCCCGTGGATGAAGAACAGCACCACGTCGGCCTGCGCGCCTTTGCAACTGGTGATGCTTTTCTCGCAGTCAATGTGGATGGTCCTCTTGGGGCGCCGGGTTCGCCTCCGCCGTCCGCCACTTCCACTGCCGGCGCTGCCTGGGGCCGAGCGGCCATCACTGCCCGCCGGGTCGGCCAGCTCCACCTCCAGGGCGGCCGGCGGCTCCCCAGAGCCATTCTGCCCGTGCAGGAGGTCAGCTCGGGGTGCCCGGCCAAGGTTTTCCACCAGCAGCCGCCCATTGCGGTACACGGTGATCCGACGTTGGCAGCGGACCAAGCCCGATCGGTCCCCTTGGGCGGCATCCCGCGATGGGGACGGTGGAGGCGGGGTGGGGGCCGGTGCGGGTCCGGCGTGCTTCACGCGCAACACGCGGCCGGGCTTGACTTCCACGAAGGTGTAGCCGTCGCTGGACTCGACGCTCTCCAGCGGCCCCACGGCGTTGGGGGGCGCCCCCAGGAGGCAGCAGAAGATCCCGTCGGTCACCCCGGTCAGCATGGTGTGTCCTGTGAGTGGGGACAACAGCCAGCTCAGGGGCCTTCCATGGGGAGCGCTGCACCCTGGCAGCACGCCCTCTCTGCACCTGGGGCAGGTGAGCTGTACTAGGAACCCCCACCCCCACCCCGCGCCTCAGTTTGGGGGAGGTGGCAACCTTCCACTCTTCTGGGCTCTGAATGACCCCACGGAGTGTCCTTAGGGAAAGGGGTGGAGTCGGGGTGGAGGCGGGGGTGCCTGGAGGAGGGGACATTGTGACACATGTGGTCTCCCCTCCTCGTAGCTGGAGTTTAAGCTGGAGTTTAGACCACCTATGGCCTCCTAAGCCCCTCCATTCATGCATGCATGCATGCATTCAGAAAGCGTTTCATTAATTCACACATCCAGAGGGGTCTCCTAAAACGGGTGCAGATACCCAGGGAACCCCCATCCCAGGTTTCTCTGACTCTGAACCTGACCCCACTCCCCCAAAGGGAAGGATCTGAAGGAAGGGGTCTGAGCTGGAGGCCCAGAAAGGCCTTGCCTAGCTCCCCAAGACCTGGTGAGCTGGGTTTGTTTTGCAGACCCTAAACCCCCTCTGGGAGTGGAAGGAGCTGCTCTGCAGAGCCCCCTGGGATTCCGGGGTTTGGCCACACAAACCCCCAACGGTGGAAATGAGGATGGTGAAGACACAGCTCGGACCAGGGGCCTGCAGGCCTCCATCCTGTTCCCAGGGCCACCCCCCTCCGTGTCCATGGCAACCGCAGGCTGTTACATAACTCAACGGGGATACCCGCGCAGCGCGCCCCCCATTGTCTAGGGCCCCTGAGCTGGGACCCACACGCCCTCCCAGCCTGGCGCCGCGGGGAAATGCATGCTGAAGATGCGGTCTGCAGTGGCCCCGGCCATGCTGGGGGACAAGCAGGCCATGCCCACCCCCTCGAGTGGGGCCCTAACCCCGGATCGCGAGGGCGACGCACAGGCACCACGCCAGTCCCAGCTCCCAGAGCCCGGCTCCCGCCTCCCAGGTGCCCGTCATCGCTGCAGCTGGGTCAAGGCCACTGGGGCTCCGTAGCTTCCTAGGAGCCCGAAGGCGGGCTTTGTGGACAGCCGCCTCCGAAGGGGAGGCCCCCGGGGGACCACGAGCTCCGAGCCTCCTCTCCCAGCCTCCTGGGCCCACACCTCACTCACCTCATCGAGGGCTCCGGGGCCCGGGGCTGGGCAGAGGGGTCCCAGGCGGAGAAGCCAGCGTCCGCCTGCCGCCGCCGTTTACATGATGGCGCGGGGTCAGGCCAGGCGAGTCTATGCGGGCCGGCGCGGGCCAGGGGCGGTCAGCAAAGGGGCATCCCGCAACCGACGGAGGAGCCGGCCCTTTAAGTCCCTCCCCGAGGGGGCGGGGCCGCGTTTCGACGGGCGGGCACCTCGACCTATCGCAGCTGCGGGCTGACCTGGCCTACTTAGGTGTCCAATCAGAGGCGGGAGTTTCGGGATGGAGGTGGGTTCTGCAAGCCAGGATCACGCCCCCCTTAGGGACTCACCTAGGTGGGGGGAGGGATTGGGCCTGGCTGAGAGCGGAGAACGGATTACAGCTTTGGGGGGCCTTCTGGGGAGGATCAGCCGGGGTCTTCTAGCTAGGAGTGAGCCTACCCAGCCAGCCCTTGTCTTCGAATTACCCTGCCTCCTTCAAACGGAGCCCCATGCCTTCTCTCAATGCTGACCTTCCTATTCTAGAAGCAGAGACGCCCCGATCGTTCTTATCCCACGTGGGGAAACTGAGGCTCACTACAGCAATCAGGACACGATTCAAACAGGAGGCAAGGTTGGGGCGTCGTGTGACTCCAAACCTTAAGGACTGTTATTTGCTAAACCTTGAAAGACAAGTCTTAGAGCCTTGGGTAGTTAGGAAGTCAATTTCTTTTCTTTTCTTTTTTTTTTTTTTTTTGGAGAGATTTTTGGCCATAGGGCGCGTGCGCTCGTCAGACAGACAGAGAGAGACAGAGAGACAGAAAGCGGAGAAATCACCTCCCCAGGGGGGATGGCCACGCTGCAGTCCCCTCTCCTCCATTCTCCTTTTGGGATTTTGGGCATGCACGCACACACATCCAGCGTGAGTTTTAAGCCACCGGGTCCAGGATGTGAACCTCGGTCGACTACGTGGGAGTCCAGCGACAAAGCCATTACGCCAACTGCTGGTCCCATTAGGAAGTCAATTTCTCAGCTCAGCCCATTTAACTGATGGCTGGAATCGGAGCTGAGGAGGGCCAGTGGCTAGAGCAGGTCCGAGATCTCGGCTGAGTTGAGATAACCCCCCCACGCCCCAGGAGAGCCTGGCGTTGGAGAACCCAGAGTTCAAATCCAGCCTCTGCTCTTGGCTCAACTGTGACCTTGAGTAAGTCACGTCTCTGAGCTTCCATTGATTTCTGGATGAAATGAATCTCCTCTGAGTTTGCTATGCAGATAAAACATCCATCGCGGTGCCTCGCAGACAGTCAGCGCTCAATACTTTATTGGCCGGGGGGGTGGAAGGCTACATGATGATGGAGGTAGCGTGGGCTTTGGAGGACAAGGGGTTAACCCCTCCCTGCTACTTGGAGGCTCCCATCCCTTGGAATTTGCTGCCAGAGAGCTGGACTAGGTCCAGCCGCCCACTCTTGCCCACTGGCTGCTCCCAGGAGACGATACAGTTGATTTATTCAGCAGATGCTTCCCTTGCCCTCTCTGCGCCTGCCCCAAGCTGGGATATGCGGGGACACTTGTAAGGTCTCATTCTCAGACCTGGCTTTTGAGGGATCCCTGAATTTCAGGGACCCATGCTGGGTCAGGATTGAGCCAGAGGGGATTGGGGAAGGAGATTCTAAAGGGTGAGAGGAGAGTGTGGCTGAAATTTAGGATGTAGGTGTGTGTAGAGGGTTTTGCATATTGCCAGAAGAGCTGGACATTGGGGAGCCATGGAGGGTGTATGAGTAGGGGAGGGGTTCGGATCTGAGTATCAGAACAATTCTTCTAGGGCCATGGATGGGTGCAAGATCGCCAAGGGCAATCTTGCAACTCATGAGATTTACAGATCAAGAAACCAGGGGCCGACTGGCAGTTGGCATGGTGGTTAAGGGCCGCAGGACTCCCATATGAATTGATCATGGTTCGAGTCCTGGACCTGGCAGCTTCCTTTCTCACTTTCCCTCTCTCTGTCTGTCCCACGGGTCAAATAAAAATAAACAAATAAAATGATTCTTTTTTTTTTTAAGAGTTTTTTTGCTATAGAGTGTGTGCACTTGCCGGACAGACAGACAGAGAGAGACAGAGAGACAGAAAGTGAGAAATCAACCCCCAGGGGGGTGGCCATGCCGCAATCCCTTCTCTGTTCTCCTCTCAGGATCTTGGGCACGCATGTACACGTACCTGGCGTGAGTTTTAAGTCACCGGGTTCGGGACGCGAACCACAGTCGACTACATGGGAATCCAGCGACATAGCCATTACGCTAACTGCTGGTCCCAACAAATAAAATAATTCTTAAAGAAAGAAAGAAAGAAAGAAAGAAACCAGTCCTAGGGGCTGGCAGGTGACATGGTGGTTAAGGGCACTGGACTCCCACATGGCTGACCATGGTTCGAGTCCCAGACCTGGCAGCTTGCTTTCTCTCTCTCTCTCTCTCTCTCTCTCTTGCTCTGTCTCTCTAAATAGATAAATAAAGTTAAATAAAATAATTCCTAAAAAACAAAAAATGTTCTAGAGGGGTAGAGACCACGCCATCCAAAAGATGCCCAGTCAGCTTGAACTTAGGCCTCCTGGGCTCCCTGCCATGAGACTTGGCTGCAGCCAGACGAAAGCTGCCAGTCAGCTGTGTGCCATCTGTCTGGCTCTTGCTGGGGGTGGAAAGCCCAAGGAGCCACTTCCTGCGGCTGCCACCAGCTGGGCTACTGCCACCCTGGGGCACCCCCTGCTGGCCGAAAGAAAAAGGAACTACAACTTGCAGTAGACGACAGGACATGAAGTCGTGGACACACGCATTGCTGAGGCAGTGCTGTTCGCTTGCCACCTGCTGGTCGAGATCAGGAATTGCAGTCCCCTCGCTGGCACAATGCTCAAACCTATGGTGCTCAGACGTGGAACTACCACTCCCAGAAGCCCTTTCGGCAATAAGATCTCCTGGGTAGGAGAGACTACATTTCCCAGAAGCCTTTGTCCCGCAGCTGCGGAACCGCAAGGTTCCGGAATAGCTGGCGGCGGGGACAGCGTGACCTGTGGCTGGACATGGCTTTGTTGCCGGGGTCCCTTTTGCTTCCCACTAGTAGGTCGGTGGCGCTACTAGGTGGCAGGTGAGTTCTCAGTTGGACCCTTTTCTAAATCTGGGCGTAACGTGTCGAGGGCTGTCGCCCACAAGACCTGTCAGTGCCTTGCGGGTTAATGGAGCACCTTTTGCAGATCCGAAAGCCGAGGCTCAGGGAGGTTGAGCGCTGCACGGAGGTCACTTTGCATCCCCTCTGACTTTTCTTACTGTCTGTTCCTGCAGGTGGCTCCAGCCTCGGGCTTGGCTGGGACTCCCAGACGCCTGGGGCCTCCCAGTCCTGCAGCAGGCCCGGGGCAGGGCGCGCGGGAACGAGTATCAACCGAGCAACATCAAACGCAAGCACAAACACGGCTGGGTGCGGCGCCTGAGCACGCCGGCCGGGGTCCAGGTTATCCTTCGGCGCATGCTCAAGGGCCGGAAGTCGCTGAGCCATTGAGCGCAACGCTGCGAGCAGGACTCCCTTTAAAGCTTTTATCTGACTTACGCAATTCATCTGGCGCTGTTTTTGCTGGGAGCTGGAGCTCGGGGATGACTTGGACTGGAGGGTCCGCACGATGTGGAGTGGCAGGAGGGAACAAGTTTGGATGGGGATGAGGGGTGATGCACGAAATCAGACCTTGCTAAATTTGTACACCTTTAGATTAGGGAGAATTTCGAATATATGCAACAGTTTACAGCGTAATATTACAGCCGACTTTCTGTGAGCCAAGTTCACAGCTGACCACCAACTTCTCCTAACCTGGGTTGAGTTTTTTCTTCTGTGAATATTTCAGAAGGTATCGCTCCAAGATAAGGACTCTTTAAAATGACTCCATTTAATACGTCCAACATACAAAGCTATTGTCAGTAATTCTTCAATATCATTAAATGTATAATAAGTATTTAAAGGTCTACATGTCAGGTACATGTCTGCTTTGGTTTTTTTTTTGGAGAGGTTTTCGCTATAGGGCGCATGCACTTACCCGACAGACAGAGAGAGACAGAAAGTGAGAAATCACCCCCCAGGGGGGATGGCCACGCCGCAATCCATTCTCCTCTCGGGATCTTGGGCACACACGCACATGCGCCCGGTGTGAGTTTTAAGCTACCGGGTCCGGGACGCGAACCGTGGTCGACTATGTGGGAGTCCAGAGACATAGCCATTACGCTAACTGCTGGTCTCTTTTTTTTTTTTTTTTAACTTTTTGCCATAGTGCACATGCGCTCACTGAAGGTAGAGAGGGAAAGTGATAAATCACCCCTAGTGGGAGATGGCCACCCTGCAATCCTTTCTTCTCCATTCTCTGGGGATTTGGGGCACATACCTGATGTGATTTCTAAGCCTCCAGGTCTGGGACCTGAACCTTGGGAGTCTGCCATGTGGAAATCCAGTCGTCCAACTACTATGCCATCTGCTGGGCCACTCCTCTTGGGATTTTGGGCATGCACACATGTGCCATGTGTGATTGTCAAGCCTCTGGGTCCTGGACTCAAACCACTGAGTCAGGCATGTGGGATCCAGCCACCTGCCCCACGCCACCACCTGGGCGACGTCTTAACGAGTGCCTCTGGGAAGGCTGGTGGGGAGGTAGGGGGTTTGAATCTTTCAGGACCTGCCCTTGGGGAAGGGCTGTTGATTCTGGGCAAGGCCTTGGCTCTCTGAGGCTCCCTGAACGCCTATAAAATCAATTGCTCTTTGTTGTGCTGTATGTTTTGGAGTAATAATACATAGTAGCTTTGTTTAGCTACTTAGTGAACACGCCTAACTATGGGATACTCAGTCCTTGCAGCTGATGGTGGTGTTGGGGTGTGGGTTAGTACCCAGGCAGTTTGGACACAATGGGGTCAGGGTTGGGAGAGGATCGGGAGGTCTGGAGGATCTCCGAGGAAATGCCTGACTTGGCTATGGGGAAGAATGCTGTCAGAGGAGGCTTCCTGGAGGAATTGGCAGGGTCTGGAGGAGCCCAGAAAAAGGAGGGATTGGGTAGGAATCAAGACATAGGGTGAGAGAGGGAGGTTGGAGGGGCCCAGAATTTGGGGTTCAGGAGGTTAGCCTGGATCTCCCAGGAGCCCTGGGGAGCCCTGGGAGGTGTTTAAGCAAGAGATCTGAATTGTCAGTTCAAAGGTATTTAAGCAGCTAGTGCAGGAAGTCTTAGCCATGCTGAAATCCAAGTCTGGGAACTCGGAGAGGAGGTTGGTCGTATTACGGTGCCTAGCTTTCGGGGCTGCTGCCAGAACCCACGAGACAGCTGTATGAGAAAGCCCAACAAACACTAGAAAGGCGAGATCTGCGGAACTTCCCGGAGTCGTGAACTACAACTCCCAGGAGACTTCGCGAGCGCGGCCTCCGCCCACTTCCGGATCTGACTTCCCAGCACTTCCAAGTCCCGGGCGGGGTTTTGCTTCCTCAATCGAACTTGACGGCGAAGGGAGGAGGCGTGGCAGCCAATGAGCGCGTGAGGG